CATCAGCAACATTTGCTGAGGTCAGATGTGCCCTCAACTTTATGTCCTGTAAAAAAATGATAAAGATGGTTTCTTGAGAACGTTAAGACCAGAAGATATTACCTATGCTGGCATTTTATTTCTTAATAGTATTTTATTGTTCTACTAATTATAAATTGTTTTATGTGAATTTATATTTGTTTTAGTTTCAGAAACTGATGCCTCAGGTCATTAGAGCAGGCAGTTTTCAGGCATGAATAAACAAATAAAGAACAGATTGTTTTGCTAAATGCCATCTTTCTATTTTTTAAGAGTGAAAAAAAAACTAAAAGTATTAATGTAGACTAGGGGCTTTAGGAAAAAAAGACTGCGGCATCTTGCAAAATAGAGACATCCATGGGGGTGTGGGGGGGTGTCAAATAAATCAAGTTGGTGATTGAAACCCCACCACTTTTTCATAAAAGTTGCACGTGCAATGTTAAAAAAAAAAAGAGGCAGGACTTCAATCATATGGTTGTGGTCATAATTTTGTTTTTTTCTTAACCCTCCTGCAGATGTTCCCTGCACAAAACTCTCCCCTTCCTTACCTCACACTTATAGGACTTTTTCCCCCCAGTTTCACACTTCTCTTTTCTTCATTTTTTGTAAATTGTTCAAAAAAACTGGGTATTCATCTGCGGTGACACCTAGCATACAAGCAATATATTCCTTGGGGAGCTACATACTAAACTGAGTCTAGATGATGAATATCCATTACTGTGGTAACAATTCTCCACATGTAAGTAACAAGCAGGGCGTCTTCTAGCATTTTGAAAGAAAAATCTGAGCCTTTTTATTACCATTTATAATTTCATGTGGAAATAATGGATGCACTTCAATTGAAGCTAAGCACCTTTAAGTTGAGGTGATTTCAATGGGACAATAAAGTTGCACTTAGATTATCCCCATGCAACAAATGGGACTAGTTTAGTCTAGATTGTGTACTATCTGCAATAGAAATATTCAGATAGACTTCCCTGTTTTTGGTCTGACCAATTCTTTTTTATGTATTAATATTGTTACTTATATCAAGGTATGGCAAATGCATTTTAAAAGGTGGTGGTACTGTGTTTCTGGAATGTGACTAAAGAGATGTCTTTCTCCTTTCACAATGTTGGAACTCAGGCTAATCCATTAAAGTAAATATAGGGAGATTCAGGACTGATTTAAAAAAGGATTTCTTTACATAACCCATAGTTAAACAGCAGGATTCAATTTCACATTTATTTTCATGGCCATCCATTTAGATGATTTAAAAATGAGAATGGGCAAATACATGGAGGATCAGGTTATCGGTGACTCTTTACAACCTTTTTTATGATATCGTGAATTAGATGCAGCATGCCTTAAATGCCACCTGCTAGGGGACAGCACGTCCATAGCTGTGGGCTTTCCAGATGCATCTCGTTGGCCATGGCAGGATGCAAAATGTTGAACTAGATGGGCCTTCAGCAGATCTTTTCTCCTGATATTATGCTGCATCGTGAAGCCCCTCCACAGGGCCTCCCAAAAGTTCTTTTATAAAGATTTGTGCATACTACATGTAATAGTTGACAATGTTATGAATATGCTTAAGGTTTTAGAGGAGGAATATTCTTTAGATACACAGGAGTTCTTCTCAAAACTCCATATAGCTGAAGGAAAAGAGCACAGAGCTTCTTTTCAAACTCCAGCTGTTTATACTGTGTTCATGCACCGCTATTAAATCAATGCCACCTTCTTTAGGGAGGAAGGTAACAGTTTATACAAAATGCATTCCAAAAGCAAAGAAAACACCACCTGAAACACCACATCCTCCTGCCATTTCCCTTGGATTCTCATCAGGTGGATGCTGTGTCTTTCCTGCTAGTGGTTTTTAAAGTTAAATATATGCCCGCCTATTATGGGGAGCTTGTTTTCAGCAAAGAAAAATAGAGGAGAGCTTATTTCCTCAAAGGTGTAAGTAGAAAGAAAGGCTACAAATGCTTTTCAGCTTCCACTGGTAAAAGAATATCTAAGGAAGTGGTAAAAGAAGGCATTAGCTCACAAAGTTAAAGGCTTTCTTCACAATATACTCTGGAGCTCATTAGTACAATTCAATTGCATCACCTTGAACTGAAGCTCTGAATTCAATCTTTGCACAATTTTTGTAAATAGACTTCAAAGTATATTATTTATTTCATGCAATATTTGCAACTCAGTGCTACTGCAGACTGTGTGTGTGTGTGTGTGTGTGTGTATATAAATAATCAGGTTCAATTAAAAAAATTAAGAAACAGATCATACATAGGAACAGCAACAAAAGAACCTACGGAGGCTCAGCAACCACCATATCCCAAGGCTTGCGAGAACAACCAGGTTTTCAAAGACTTTTAGAATATCATTGGGGTGTGAGCCATACAGGTCTCCAGAGGGGAAGTTATTCCAGAAGACAGGCACCACAACAGAGAAAGCATGCTTCTTAGCTCATAATAGTTGATATTATTTAATTGAGAGGACCTGGAGCACACCACTTTGCTTGATCTTACAGGCAGGCACAATGGAAGATAGGTGGTTCCTCAAATAGCCAGGCTATGTGTCATGCAGTGCATTATAGGTTACAACAGCTCCTTGAATTGTACCTAGAAGCCCACTGGCAACCAGTGCAGCTTTCAGAGCAGCAGTGCTCCATAGGCATACTGCAGCATGCACATCACTGCCACACCACTGTAATCTGGACCATTTATATCCTTAGGGTGATCTTCAAGCAAAGCCCCATGTAGGGCACATTGCAGTAGTCTAACCATGACGTGACTAGGGCATGAGTGACCATCTGAAGGGCCTCCCAACTGAGTGGGCGCAGTTGGTGCATTAGATGGTTCTCTGTGAAGATCCTCTTAGCCACAGCTGCCACTTGCTCTTTGAGTAGGATCTGTGAGTCTAAGATGACTCCCAAGTTACGCATTAGTCCCACCCTACTCTAAAAATGGAGACTCCCCAGTACCATGTGGCCAAAACATGCATAGCCACTTGTTATCAGGATTTAGTTCACTGGCTAAATTTCATGGGAAATACTGCCTGATGTATAATGTGCTGCACTGCCACATTGATTTATCATATGGTGAACCTGATGGCTAGCTAAGGTAGTAGATGGACACGTCCAAATCTGGTTCTAGAATGTAATGCTGGGGCCTAAGTTCCCAAGGCCTAGTTCTGACATCATTGGGGTGTTTGTAGCCTCCTAAATGATGCTTGCTATGCATATCCTATAGTTAATCTTTGGTTCATCACCATCTGTTAGCAATCATTTTTAAACCATCCACATAATTATATAATGACAGAAGCTCTGCATTGTAGTTCCAGAAATGGAACACTACCTCCTGAATTTATATTCTAAAATTAAATGATGACTCAGCTACCTGCAAGAGTTGGCTATTTCCAAATAATTGCAGAATATACCTGGTTCCTTTAATATTTGTTAGGCAAATGGTGATGGTGGCAGGGAAGCCAATGTCAGCCCCATTATATGGGCCAGACCAGGAAATCAAGTCCACAGGAAGGGTAAAACTACTTTTATTGAAACTGACTTTTATAACAGAATTGTGCAAGTCTGATTGTGATGGACCTCCTTCTCCTTCTTAAAGTTCAGTGAATAAGGGAATGTCTGTTTGAGCTGCTTCCAAATGTTATCTGGCTGTTCTAGACTTTTAAAATATTTCAGCCCCTTTTGCCTAGACAATGAAGGCTGCATATTTTCATCAATGTCATCTTCCTTATTTTCTACAACCAAGCACTTTTTTTTTTTTTTTACCATTTCCTTCAAGCCCATCCAGCACCATATTGCCCAGAATTTGGAAATCAAAGCTTCTGGATATGTTGAAATTTGCATCCAATGCCAAGCTAACCTGAGTCCATTTTTTTTTCCAAACAAGATATGATTATTATTTCTGGCTGCAAAAAGGCAGAGAAACATATGATAGTTAAAAAGAAAACTACTGTTCTTATTTTATCTTCATCCTGATATTTTATTTTTACATATATATGGAATTGTCTTCATCATGACAATTCCGTCTCTTATGGGTATGGGTAAAGAATAGGTTTACCTTCTCTTTTGGAACTCATGGGAAATAGACTACAGATGTTACTTGTGGATATTTTTTAAAACAGCCAATTCTGAAAAGTCAAGCAATGTCCAGTGTACACGATGTCACTGTTTAATTGCTTCAAAGTAACAAATACTTGCTACAGGTAACTAGAGAAATGGTCATTTTCAAGCCTAAAATACCTAAAACACTGCCATTAGTACAAAACAGCTACCTCAGTATGATACCCTCTAGATATTTTGGGCAGTATTGTTTTTGTCAATAACTCTTAATCCAGTCAAAATTGTCAAAGATAAGAGATGCATTCCAAAATGCATTTAGCAACACAGGTAGTCCTCATTTAGTGACTGCCTTATTTAATGACCATTCACAGTTATGATGGTGATGAAAAATATAACTTTGCAACCAATCCTCACATTTACAACCTTCACAGGTTTGTAAACCAAAGGAAAGCTGAAGTAAGATCATAAGCAGAGTCATAGTTTCACTTAGTGACCATTTCATTTAACAACTGAGTTGCTGGTCCCAATTGTGGTCACTAAATGAGGGCTACCTGTACCTTTGAGATGTTTTGGACTATAGAAGTAGGCATCAAGTTGCTTACTTCTGCTCAGAAGGAACTAAATTAAAGAAAGCTGGCATAGAACCAGAAAGAGCCATTCCATACTTATTCTTCAGTCTTAAATACAAAAAAAAAAAAAAAGGTTGTGATTTTAAAGATGGTTTCAAACATTTTGAAAAATAACATGACCAATAATCTTAAAATATTTATTAATTAAAAAAAGGTTAAAATCTTTGATTATACAAAGATGAGACTAATCTCATGCAAACTCTTCGCATACAATAAAAATAACTCAAATATTAGTAGGATGGGTTTACAAAATAACTTCTTTATAATAGCTTTTAATAGAGAAGTGCTGCTCTTCTTGATGTGCCTGGAGCACTACTGAGAATAATTTAATTACAAAGCTTTTTTGGTAAAGATTTATACACTGTTCTACAGGAAAGGTGCCAGGATTTTCACATCTTCACTATGATTACAATTAATACCCTATTACTACTACGACTCAGAAAACTAGACTTAGACCTATGAACATTGAATAATGATTTCCTCAGTACCACTGGACCTTTGAACCATTTATTTTTTAATGTACAAAGCTGCCAAAACATAACTGTGCAGCATTTTTAAACACTTTTATTTGGATGTAAGTGTTGGGGAATTCAACAGGACTTATTTCCAAATAAATGTGCAGAGAAGTACAGTGTTAGTTTTTGTTTTTCTTAAATGGTTAAAAAAAAACAACTTGATATTGTTATGGATGGCATCTGCTTCTGCTTAATAACAAATCACACTGGATTTCAATTTTGTGTATATTACAAATAATTTGCATAAATTATTAAAACAATTAAGGGACTGACATATCATGGTAATTAGAAATGCATCAGATTTGAATGTTGTACAAAAAGAGAGCTTCAATATGAAACATTAAGTCTCTGAGAACGAAATATCCTATAGATTCCTGCAGTGCAGTCTTAACATACTTCCACAGAAACTTTGGGTGCTGAGGTGGCTCTTCGGGTTTTCTGATTTTCTCTAAGTGCTGGGAGTAAAAAACTCAAAAGATGATACAAAATGCATGCCATTCATCTTCTCCCCTGTAGATGCCCCAGTATATGACTTGCGTTCTTATTGCAGATTTCCTTTTTATCTCATTTTCCGTAGCCTTATTCTGTTCTCTTTGTCTCTCTTTTTAAGGATAAGTATGAACTGGTTGAAAAAATGCTCTTGGTCTTTCTTCTTCTGAACTAGTCGAAAACGTTGATCTGTGCCATATTTCTCCGCAAATTCCTTAAAGGTGGTCCTAGGATGGGAAGGGAATAATCAAAAAATAAGCAAACATTCTCATAAAGCTGTGTGCTGGTCAATATATATTTATACGTTTGGCTCTTTCTTAAACATGCATGCTTTTTTTCTACTGAAATCATTCTTACTGCATCTTGTCCTTGTCACCAGTGGTGGTAGAAATGGAAAGACTGAAGGCAAAAATCTTGAAAACTCATTGATCTGCTTGGCTCCTCATCCTAAGTCATTATTTCAGTTTCACAGAATAGACTTATTTATTGATTCAGGGAACCTAGATGAATAATTAGTTCACTGTGGATGATCTAGAGTAATTAAGATTAAGATGGGATTCTCAAAAATCAAGAGTGTAATTTTTTTTAACTTAAGCTTGCCAAACAACGTAATTTCTTCCCTTCTATAGCACTATAAAGTTTTAAAAGGCCAAGACTTCCATCAGATCTGCAGAGTCACATATCTTTTGATTTCCAAGTGTGACTCTCTATTGAAATATGGAGGATGGAAGTAGTACTAACAAATATAGGAAAAATGCTAAATAGAAATTGATGCATTTTTGGCATATGGAAATTTTGGCTTAGATCTAACTGTTTGACTTAATTTACATTGTACAGTCAAAGATGGCAGTCAGGACCACACATTTAAAACCTGCTAATTTTTTACATGCTTTACACATGCAATGCACATAACAAAGAGGCTGGACTTTAATCACATGGGCATGGCTGTCATCTTCACTTTTGATACCCCTGCTTGATGCCATCATGTACTGGTTTTTAGGCACCCCACAAAACCACAGAATGTGGAGTTCAAAAGGGATTGTTGTATTTGAAGTGGCTTATTTTCTGAAACATACATTGCAGGAAATAATGAATGAATCCAATGGCTTTGAAAGAGTAGAGTATCATTCTGATCTCTTTTTGAAACTGCTCCTCACCCAAGATTCCCCTAGGTACATTTGCCACCTAATAGCTTGAAAATATTAGGTTAAAGAAGAAAGAGCTTTTTTTTTTTAACGACCTTGAAGGTAAATACCATGCTTCTAGATTACAGCAGAGCATATTTGTCCTTAGCTTAAAAAGTGAAGGCTTGCAAAGTGTTCCTGCTTGAGATAATAAAACAGAGATAATAACTGGTTCACTTTACAATATAGGAAGCTGGTTTGCTGCAGTATGAAGTGTCAGCCTGGGGAATCATCTTAATCTGTGAAAGTATGTCTTATCTGCCATTATTTCTGGTCTTTGACTGAAATAAACTTTGACTTGACTATCTGCCAGCAGATATTACTAAAAAAATGAAAATGAAGGGAGGCAGTGACCCAGTGATAGGCTTGGATGTGTGCCCACTTACCCAGAAAAAAAATGTCAAAGGCATTCCAGGGTTGGAGTTAATATTCAGTGGAATGGGATATGTGGCAGGCAAAGAGAACACTCTTATCAGTTTGATTTCTGGTAAATGGGTATTTTGTGATTAGCTGCCATAGCAGCATTTTGCAGCAATACCCACAATGTGGTCTTAATGTTCCTAATATTTACAGGTATGTATCATTTCTCTCCCTCCCTCCCTCCCTCCCTCCCCCTTCAAGTCAGCTTTTGACTCTTGGCAGCTGCCTGGACTAGTCACTGCAATTTTCTTGGCAAGGTTTTTAAGAAGTGGTTTGCCGTTGCCTCCTTCCTAGGACTGAGAGAGAGTGACTGGCCCAAAGTCACCCAGCCGGCTTTCATGGCTAAGGCAGGACTGGAACTCACAGTCTTCCAGTTTTTAGCCTGGTGCTTAACCACTAACCAGAATGGCTCTAATTACTTCTCTGTTAGATTTATACCCTGCTTTTTGTCCAAAAGCTCAAGCATATAGCACTCTGTCCTCCTTTTCTTCGCCCATAACTATCCTGTGATCAGTTAGGTTGAAAGAGAAAGACTGACACAAACCGTCCAATAAACTTGAACCGGGTTTTCTCTTCCATTGTACACTGCACTGGCTTCCTGCCCGCAAGCCCCAGCAGTTTGGCTATAGTGAGTTCCACATAGCTATTATAGTGTGTATGGATTTTTGAGGTTGTCTTTAATAATGCTGTCATCCTATTTTATTTATTTATTTCTTACTAAGGCTTATATGCCACTGCAATCAGTATGAATCTTAGTAGCATACAGGCCATAACACAGTAAACAGATTAAAACAATGAAAGAAGCAAGAAACAAATAATAATAATAAAAAACCCTCAACAAATTGAATATATATATATATATA